AGATCTCCGATCTGATCTCAGTGCTGAACAACTCCCCTATATATACCCACACTGTCTATAAATAGACCATTACATCAGCATACATAATGAGTCTGGAACATACTACAAATTTCTAGAATGTTCCATTACCTTCTATTGCCTTCTACAGTGTCCTATTACCTATTCAATCAACATCTAAAAATTCCACCCAGACACAGTACGGTTCTAGAACATTCCCAGTCACACGGAAGTGGTAAACAAGTCGTATGCGACAGTCATGCTCACAGTCTTCTGGGACCAGGACGGAGTAGTGTTGACAGATTTACTGGCAAAAGGTACCACAATTACAGGAGCCTATTACGCTTCACTTTAGATGAAATTAAGAAAAGCTATCAAAATCAAGAAGCGGGTAGCAAGATCAGCAAAGATATCCTCCTCCTGCAGGACAACGCTCCGTTCCACAACTCGCATGTCTCCAGAAATCTTCCCCACCCCCTTACTGCCCTGACCTTGTACCCTCTGACTTTCATCCCTTCTCAGCCATGAAGTTGTTTTTGAAAGGAAAGCGTTTCCTAGATGATGCAGCCATGATTTTCGAATTTACAATGTGGTAGGAGGACCAACCTGGGGTGTTCTATAAAAACGATGTCATTGAGATGTATCAAACAATAGAAGAAATGCATAACTCTGGGTGGTTCCTATTTAGAGAAAGACTAATAACTGTGCTAAGTTTCATTAATCTCCTGCTATGGGAAATGGGTCAGGATCATTACTTATTGAACGCCCCTCGTATATAATAAATAAATCTCGAGTTATAAAATAGCTGATGTGTTGCGTACCAACGGCGTTTGTGAAATCATGGAGAGATAGCTCCAAGTTGAAAGAATTACACAGGAAACGAAACTGGTCTTCCCGAAACATGATTTGCATACTTCTGTTAAGCTCCAGCGATCAATCAACATCAATTATGCAAGATTTGTGCAAATTAAACAGTTAAAGTAAGACCATGGCACAAGTGTTTGTTTTTAATAATTTAAACCTAGTTTATAAAGTGTTCTATTCGCAATAAAATTTTGAAATATTCACTCAAGAACAAGGATGTTTTCAGCTGTATAAAAAATTAAAAAAGTGAAATTCCACCTCTAAATGCACATGTCCCTGCAACGTCACCTTAATGTCTTGAATTCCGGGAACATATCATGATAGGCATTACAGACACATAAAATGGAAAACAATCATTTAGCGATTTAAGTTTTTAATTTAATTTATATTAAATTACATTCACAGATGAAGTCGGTCCTAGAAAGTGCAGATTTGTATGGTGTTGAAGTCCTTGGATTTTATCCTGGTAGTATCGGCGTCGATACAGTTATTAATTTTGACCAAACTACAACTACAACTATTACCAACGTTCAGGAAACCCTGACTGCTTCAGCCGCCACAGGTCCCCTTGCAATAGTTCTATCAACCATCGTCGTAACAGATGAGCGCGTACCGTGGCGGGTGGACGGTCGTTGTGGATCAATTTTCAGAGGAACAAATGGGGTCAGCCCAGCTGAATGTGATCCTTATAGTACCACACCTTGTTGCTCTTCGTCAAGGTTATGTGGCATTTCACCAGATCACTGTGACTGCGATGGATGTATAGACTACCGAGATGTGTATGGAGGTAAAGATATGGGCAGTTGTTTACTTTCTCATTTCTTCCAAATATTTGTTTTAGAGGTATCGAGAATTGTTGACCAATTCGTTACATAATATATCTCAAAAGATACAAATTGCAATTGTAATAATTCTTCAGCATTGCTTATATTATATATTTCTTGATATGTCACAGTGGAATATGCAAATTACTTTCGAAGAATGTACAACCAATTTCTGATACGTATTTATTTTGATCGTCATACCACATGTGGTATTTTTACTATGAACATTGAAGTTGTACTGTCGGTAAATTTATGTTAAACGTCTTGACTCAACTACGATATTTGATATCCCCCTCACATTAGCCGAACATCACCGAGAAATTTCGTTTCTCGGTTGTGATCAACTTTTTACCATCAACAATTCCCCCGACTCGCACCAGGGAATTCTTGTTTGATGATTAAGTTTGAATATTCGATGAGGAGCATTTTTCAATAAAATTAGTCTGAGATACAAACGAGATTCGCGAGTTTCTTTCTGAATCGCTGTCATTGTCCCTTTTTTGAATTTATGAGGGGTGATTTTAATAATATTATCACTACGTCCTAGTTAACACCAAACAAAAATTGCGTTTAGCGAGTATCCGAAGCTGAATTCGAACTGCAATGCGAAACTGAATTTGTTATAATGAGACAATAACTAACTTAATCCATAAACGTCGCGTAATGGTAATGCTATTGTTCATATATGATATATATTTTAAAATTAATGATGAAACATATAATAATGCAATTATTGCTATATGTACGTTTCTATTAACGATGCCATATATGTATGGTTATGAAGGGATTTATTTGATTAATAGTTTATTTTATAATTCACATGTGTGATGAAGTGCGTGTCTGAATTTGTACCCGTAAATGTTCTTAGCATATTTCTTTACTTTCAATTTTATTGAACACGTGTACGATATACAATATTGTTCCAATTGATGTAGTGCTCGCTAGCACTGTATTGAATAATATACGTTTGTGTTCTTGCTGTTATTTTCTTTCAGTCACAGCTGCGCCGATAATTACAACTACTACACCAACACCAATCCCTACAACTGAATCAGGTAAGAACAATACAATTATTCATGTTACTTCAATGCTTTGTTGTACCTGTTTGAGGAAGCTATTACCCACATAGCATTAAATAATTTGACAAGAATATTTATCCAATAGTGCGTATTTGCTCTTTGTGAAATATGTGTCAATGATAAGCTGTGGTATAGTAAAAGTGGATTACGTTTTCTTGCAACTGCTATTCACTTTTAATCTGATGCTCAATTGTGACATGTTGGTGGAATTTCATCATGTGTTAGTATTGTGTATATGTGTATAACGTTACTAGCATTATTATAAATGACTAGTGTTTGTCGTACGAAATGTCACGAAACTTAATGGGATGGAGATAAAAACTTTATTGGTTTGTGTTGGTTTTCAAGATCTTATTTATAAAATGAATGTACGTCTTTCGTTAAAGGGGGGCCGCTCAATCCCATGGATTGCACCAATGAATCATGGGACACTATTGTTTATGTTGTTTACAATGTTAATCTATCTTTTGTTATCCATTGTTATTTTAATCCAGAAAGTAAATTTGTTGTGCGGTTAGGCTTAACTGGAAGGTGCCCCTGTAACGCAACAAATCGTCACATGTAAACTAACGGTTCATATTCGACAGATGGGTCATCCCAAGCATGGAGAGAAGATACCCAGTGCGGACACGGATTCCCTGCTCCAAATGGAGCTAATCCCTCGGAATGTAATCCTCATGGTATATACCCATGCTGTTCTCCACATAGCTGGTGCGGGATAAGTTCTGCGCATTGTACATGTGGCAGCTGTATTGACTACAGAGAAGTATATGGAGGTAAGTGTTGTAGTAATTTAACATGTGTTTGAACGATCTCCGTAGCTTTCCCAATAAAGCATTTTCATTACACAGTACTAGTATGAACATAACAATATTTTTCACAGTTACTGATTCCATCGTCGATGCCTGCACTGGTCCGCCAAAGGTTTTAACTGTTCCCGCTGACGGTGAATTGGTTTTATCGTCACCTAATTATCCCATTTTCTACCCGTTGTATGCCAACTGTCAATGGGTGGTGTCGGCAGAAGACCCAACTCGTGAAATAGAGGTAATCGTATTTTACACATACTCACTTCATCACGCACTTGGTGGGTGGTTCGAGTTCGAAAGGTGGTTGGGTGCTGTAGGCGAGTGCATATGATTTGTATTTACAATACGTTGCTGGGTTTATTACCAATTACATACGCAGTATTTGTATGACGTTTATTGAATTGTCCATTTCTCTTGTACATAGATAACAATTGTAGATGCCGATATATCCGAGTGTTGTGATTATGCCAAGATCGGCAATGGTCAGAGTATAGGTAGTGGCCTAATCGCACTTGTCACTAAAGACAACATAGGCGTGGTTTACAGTGGTGGGTCCACAATATGGGTTCATCTGCAAAGCAGCGGTGTACATGGACAGGGTGCTGGATTTCAACTTAAATTCTCTGATGCAGGTAAAATAGGTGAATCCATTCCAATTTTATTACGTTGTCTATCAATTAATTAATAATTTCATTCTGTTTGCATAAACGGTATAGAGACAGATTTTCAACACTAAATTGTGAGATAGTTCTATCAATGATCTTCTTGTATCTTAACAGTAAATAGACAAGCAGCTGTAAAACCGTGCGTCGTCACAGTAGGAATTGGGATAAATATAAATTGCGGAATACGAAAACGCATATTCATGACTGTATGAAACTCTTGCTTTATAGCGAGAACATTAACATAGATCGCATTTCAAACAGTTTTCTCAGAAATAATTTGGCTAGTCATAAAAGATGCAATATGAACAAAATCACACGTGTCAAGAGAATTTCAATTTTGGAAGAACATAAGTTTAAATTTACAGTTATTGTTCGTACCAAACAACCAGTGCGCATGCGTATTAGAGAATTCCATTACTTCGTCGAACTAATATTCAGATGAATGCTATAATAACGTTTTCATTTTATGATAAATTAAAGTTCAATGTATTTATTAATATTCAGTATCAGACAATAATACTAAAAATCACAGTTCCTCGCCCATATTGCACATTTGAACGAGGTATGGCTCGAAAGTTTAGGAGGTGACCAGTTGGTGAAGTCATAATTGTAAATCTAGTCAGATTTGCTGCTCGGGTGTAATATGAACAAACGAACTACAAGAATGTACATCGCAAGCAGAATGAATTGTCTGTAAATATTCATGCTTTATCGAAACAGTGTGTCAACAGCGTGTTCACGTGTAAGATATGCACCAGTCATCGCATATGTCATATGCAAAAACGTGAAACAAGTCAGTATATGCAGCATCACTGGAGATTGAACACCTAACACATACCTTCTTTTAGTCGGCGTTGGGATATATACCGACAAACAACTCGGTTGTGTCACTTTTCACTTAAAGATTAACTTTTGTGGTTTTACCAGTCATTCGTTTTTATTACTTTATAGGACATGCTATATATACCATTTATAAACGTCTTATTAGAACCAATGTTTGTGACATTATAGTAAAGTACAATGTGTATATTTGAAATGAACATACATGTATCACAGAAGCAGCATGAACATTGCAAGCATCCATATTTAAACAAATCTAACAAACTAATACCATGTGTATGCGTATACGTTTACGAGACCACTTTCTCTTCTTATCGTCTAAACGGTGTTTATAAATAGCAATGTTCTTAACATATACAGCTCGTCAGTGTACCAACATTTGAAACAGATAACAGTATTACGTTTTCACGTTTTTTCTTCTTCTTTTTTCTAGGTAGTAATAAATAATGATTGAATAAATTATCTTGGGACAATTCAAGACATTCTAGATATCTGAGCCATTAAATAAGGAAACATCTTCCTTTTCGGAATGCTACTATATATACTTGATTGTTCTTTTGTTGATCCTTAAATAAAAGTTAATTATAAAGCAATAAATGTTTATTGATGTTAAGATACAATGCTACTCAAAAGTGAAAACTGATGTCATTTTATTTATATTATGTGACATATAATTTTATAAGAATATGACGCATATTGAATGACGACAGGGGTTCACCGGACACAGTTCAAAGGAACATATGAACAAAACAGGAGTGAAAAAAATGTTTTACCATGTGTACCTGTGTAAGGATATATCTCAAAAACAATGTTATGCGAGGTTACTTGTTTTGTCTTGAAGTATTATAACATTTATTGTCAAACTGGAGTAAAAAAATGTTTTACCATTTCTTCCTGTGTAAGGATATATCTCAAAAACAATTTTATGTGAGGTTACTTGTTTTGTCTTGAAGTATTATAACATTTATTGTCAAGTGTTTCTAATTATGAAATGCGCTTTCATTTATGTATATTCTTTTATGAGTTGTTTCAAAAACAATAAGATTGATGATGAAACAAAATGAACACTTAATATTTGTGTATGTGCTAAAGTATGCTTACATGTCGAACACTCGTGATACCTAAACTCGACAGTATCTCACTGCTGGTGTGTGTTCTTAGTGAGTCAAGAAAAAAAATCAAATTGATAATAAGACAAACAAAATAGTCAATTGTTCCCTGCTGTCGTCGTCCTCGAGAAAAAATCCACAGTAAACAAAGGTATGACGTCAAAAGTATGTTATTACGCAATAATTACTGCTATTCGCGTTTAATACCGAAGATAAAATGTTTATTATATTATATGTCAATCAAATCTAGGGTTATGGTCCATATTTCGCCATCTCAAAACTACTTTACAAACTTGGCAGGCGAATTTCCTTCCATCTCGGGCAACTACTTCGACGTTTCCTACGTTTCCTATAACTATTTTTCAAATTTTCCTTACAACATTTCTTCCTTCCAATGCAACGTTTTCAATTTTAAAAAATGTTTACACTTTGTGACATCTCCGACTTTTCTTAAAACATTTTTTGAATTTCCACTCGCGGAAATTTATGACTTTTGAATTACTTCCCACCGTTCTCAAAATACCCTTTGAACATTCGGACAATTTTTTAACCTTCAAAAGCAACTTTTCTGACTTCACATACAAGTTGTTTGATTATCTACTACTTTGTCGCTTTTTACAACAGCTTTTCCGTCTTTACATACGACTTTTTTAGCTTTTCGGATTGAGCAAACAATCAAAATATTAAGCTAGTATTTTAACTGTTCAGACAATAAGCCCACTTTTTAAGGGCAATAAGTCTCGATAGTTAGTTTAGTTAGTTTTCAAATAAAGCATTTTACCGGTCATCCATTTTAGACATGAGTCAGTGAGGTTCAAAAGCTAGCGAGAATACTGTAAAATATGTCTTTTCGCGAGCATGTATTTTTTAGCGAATTTAGCGAAAGAACTAATTAACTAATTTAAGATGTCGCTAATGACTTCATTATAAATTCAAAATGGCGGCCAAACAACGTTTTTTACTTCACACACACTTTGTAAACAACACAGAAAACGTAATAATCTAGAGCGCTTCCTTATTACACTTGACAGTTTTTCTTGGTTTTGATGGAGATGATATTGTTTTGGCAGGCACAGACAAGTATTGTGAAAATAAGAAAGACAAGAGAGATTCGCTAAATCAACATTTCGCTATTATGTCATTTTACCACAATTCGCTAAAATAGTATGTCGCTTTTTCAACATGTTTTACAGTATGTGCAAATGTGGTAGAGGCAGCAATTCCATTACTCACTGATTCGATTGCTGCATTGAGTATGTTTTTTGATGTAATATGTCAATGCTTGCGGATCTTGGAACCTATGTGTGAAACAAGATTGATGTGGTGGATGGCGACGGTCAATAGTTAGCTAATGCACGGTTACTAGTAACCGTAGCTATTGACAACGACAACTGACTTATAGTCCTCTTTTTACATATCTGACATTTCGTTCGTCGCGTTTCGTTTTTGTGACCGACAGGAAACGACTAAAGCGTAAATACGACCGGGCATGGTCGGTAGGTCCCGAAAATAGAGTCAGTATGTACTATCGAAGAGATTGGTACAAATTTGCAAAACTCACATTGTAATCTTATGCCTCCGACCAATCTTCCGAACAATTTATTTAACACACATGTCAGTCATAATTGTTATACAATATGAGTCATATAATGATGACATATAGGTTGCAATGTATTGGATACGATATGCTGCAAATAATTTTATAATGAATTCGCATAAATATTCCCGTAATTGAAAGCATGCATACTATACTTACGCAGTAAACAAAAATATCTCAAATGATTTCGGATTTCCTAAAAATTAGCCCGAACTTAGAAGTGCGGTGAAACTGCTATCCAACATGCAAAATCTATAAAGGTACATCTTATTCTTGGTGCTGGGGAATTACAAAGCCAGTAGTAAAACATGTACAAATACAATGAAACCGTACAATTTTACCACTTTTCTTTGGTAAAACATATATCATAAATACAATCGTGATATGTTTGCTAGGATTCATTGTGCACATGTTTCAAGTACATGTTTGTCGGTGATATACTACAGCATTTAAAAAAATAGCATATAGAAAAACGAAGTAAATTCGATTAATGCCGCATGAGGGTTCAAAGAACATCATTTGGAGTGGTGATCGCATCAAAGTGTTTGCTATGCTATTTGTAAGTTGATTATACACACGCCCGCTACTGTCGAGATTGTAATATTCGGTCACAATCCAATTACCGACCGTCAAAGTAAGTTGCATCTGAGGCTTGGGGAATGCCTACTTGTTTCACTGAACATTCAAGTTCATCGAAACAATTTTAAATATCTGATATCTAATATTTTTTTAATTTGTCTCTATTATCAGATAGTCATATATATTTTGTTATTATTGTGAACGAAGTTGGGTTAACTCTGATTATTTTGTGTAGTCTGGTTTATTGAAATGTTATATAGCTACTCTCATACATTTGAACATGTAGAGACAATGAATGGCAATTGGATAATAATAAATATTATTAGTATAATAACATCAGCATAATAGCTAGCGTCTCACTGGCATTGTGGCTATGATACTTAAGCTTTGTCAGCATAGATATATATAGTAAGCACGTTGACTGAACCACAAACTAATTCTAATTTGTATCTTGCTCATTGTAACCACCTCGCCTTGTATATCAAGCATACTCAGTCGAGTTACGTTTTCCATGTGATATAATGTTTGTTTTTTCCTTAATTTGTACATACACCCGAATTTCTCCTAGTAAGTCTCTGTATTCCCTTCTTTGTCAGTGTACAATCCTCACTGTGCTTTGTTTCATATTTACACGATCTGTTGCGCATGGGCTTTATCTCAATTGTTCAATACAAGATTCGATGTAGGTTTTGTTCTTGGGTTACGTTACAACACGCCCTAACCCCACTTGAGAAGCTGTGGTCCCTAATTTGTAAGTAACAGTTATGTGAATTGTCCTAAACGTAATACGAGCTTTGTCTATATCAAACAAATTATATGTTTTCGTATACTAGTATACTATTTTCATGAAAAACTGTTTTGATAGGCTCCCGCTCGTCTACATACACATACACACAAAACACATTAAAAACCCATAGGGATAGGCTCTCGACCTTCCTGTATCGCCACACCCGGGACGCTCTCGGAATCTCCATGGTGCACACCGCCTCTCCCGACCACCCTGTGCCGCCTATTACAAAATCACCGACATTTGCGATCGTTCGTTGCCTATACCCGACGTTACCCTGTCACCTACACCCGTTTCTGGCATGGCGTGGTGCACACCATTTGCGACTGTTTTTCGCCTGCAGCCGACTTGACTCTGTCACCTACACCCGCTCCCGACATCGCTGTGGTGCATACCGCCTCTCCCGACCTTCATGTACCACCACATCCGCTCCCTGTTTCTCCATGGTGCACACCGTCTCTCCCAAGCGCCCTGTATCGCCAATTACTAAATCCCCGGGTCTTACGGTGGTTTACCGCCTACACCCGACGTTACCTTGTCACCTACACTCGCTCCCGACATCTCCATGGTGCACACTGCCTCTCCCGACCCCCCCCCGTGCCGTCTATTACAAAATCCCCGCCATTAGCGATCGTTTATCGCCTGTACCCGACCTTACCCTGTCATCTACTACCGCTGCCGGCATCTCTGTGGTGCACATCGCCTCCCCCGACCTTCCTGTACCGCCCCACCCGCTACCGGCATCTCCACGGTGATCGCATCAGCGACTAAAGCGTAATTACGGCCGGGGCATGGTCGGTAGGTCCCGCAGATAGAGTAAGTATGTACTATCAAAGAGATTGGTACAAATTTGCAAAACTCACATTGTAATCTTATACCTCCGACCAATATGCCGAACAATTTATTTAACATACATGTCAGAGTCATTTTTGAGATACATTATGAGCCAAATAAGGTTGCATGTAAGTTTCAGTGTATTGGATACGATATGCTGCAAATAATTTTATATTGAATTCGCATAAATATTACCCCAATTCAAAGCATGCATACTATACAAACGCAGAAAACAAAATTATCGCAAATGATTTCGGATTTCCTAAAAATTAGCCCGAACTCAGAAGTGCGTTGAAACTGCCATCCAACGTGTACGAAAGTACATCTTATTCCTGGTGTTGGGGAATTGCAAAGCTAGTAGTGAAATATGTACAAATACAATGAAATTGTATATGTTAACACATATAGCTTGAATATAATCGTGATATGTTTGCTAGGAGTCATTGTTTCCAGTACATGTTTATCGGTGATATACTAGAGCATATAAGGATTACTGTGTACACACTGTATATTTCATTCAGCTGACGACCACATAGAAAAACGAAATAAATACAAGTTATGCCGCATGAGGGTACGATGATTATACATACGCCCGCTAGTGTCAAGATTGTAATATCCGGCCACATTTCAATTACCGACCGTTTTAATGTTTAAATAGGCTCTCTCTCGCCCGTAAAAAGCACAGAGAAATGCAACAAGATAGTTACACACCAAAACTAACATTAAAAACCCAATGAACGAAATTGGCTGGCGGAGCGTCGTGACGTGTTGCCAGGAGTAGACATAAAAACGGAGTCTAAATGAAGCAATTACTCTCACGCTATTACGACAATGATATAGTCAATTACTGTGACGAGTCGAATCATTGCCTCCTAAACAACATCGACGGTGTCGGACGTCTTAATAAATTAACCTGCGAAAAATATGTCATGCTTGAAAACCCAATATAAAATAATATTAACTGTGCTTTGAAACGTCAATTTAAATTAAACTGGCCGTTGTGTGTGTTTGGTTCATACGCCATTGTATAAGTCTTTAAAAGAAACGGACCGCATAACTCGCTTGACTGAGCGTCTTGTATTACGTGTCACGTAACTGTTATTGTTTTGTGTTCTACGTCGTTTTGATAGGTGCTTACTTTGCCGTCGTCGCAAGTATTGTTACCTGTGTAGACATTACAACAGTTTGCAAATAGATACGGTCTTTGGGTCACAAAACACCACACAGTAGCGTGCACGTTGCTTGGTGTTCAAGTGGCTGAACGACTGCGATCTTAAATACAACCGCTGCCAGAGCGCCGTTACGTGTTATCGGTACATTCGAGGGAATGAGGCCAAAAACAACTCACAATGCACATTGTTTTCCTCCTGAATTGTACCAGTAATAGCTATAGCGCTTTCATTAACGGTGTAGGCGTGGTGCCTATATACCAGTCATGAAAAGAGACAAGATCCGTATTCATATGCAAATAAGCAATCACCTGGTGACGGTATATGAACAATGTAGCGCCGTTACTTGTTATACAAGCCAACTATATCACGCTGGGTAAATCGGTCATTCCCAAGTGTGAGCTACGTGAGGAAAGACAACACTTCAAATTAATTGTGACGGTAAATAGGAGGCGGACAACTTGGAATATAACATCGGAGCGACCTTCATCGAGGTAAATTAGAAAACATCGGGTGTTTATACTGGGAGTGCATTGTGATACCACGGAGATAACCTTACGTTTATTTTGTGAACGACCGTCGCGATGACGATGTCTGAACTGAATGCTTGAATGATTTTACTGCAGCCTTTTTTTCTAATCAATTCTCAATTACTTCTCTGATGGGGTTGCGCCATAGACGAGTAAAGAAATCTATAATCTGTATTGAAATTTACTTTTTTGGCATTATTCACTACTTAACGCATGGGTGCGAGTTTAGCGCGTTTGTTATAAATGTTTCAATTCGTATCACTGATTTTACGTCCCTCGAGTTTAAAAGTTCGAACATAGATGATTATTCTGTTCTTGGGGTATGGGATAACAATACTGTTGTGATCTTCTATTGTGTCTTTATGTACATCCCTATTCAGTCGTCTTGTTATTGTTATCGAAAGGACGTTGTATTTGTCAGTGTACACTCAAACAGTATCGGCGTTATCTCGCGAACAGTTGCTCAACCAATTTGGCAAATCTCTCCTAATAAAACGATGTATTCAACATGATAACTAAACTATTTGTAGCCACAATACGCAGCCATGTAGTATCGCGCGATAGCGACAACGAAATCATTTTTTACAGGTCACTGGTGGCTCATCTGTCAATGTGTGCGCCGAGTCTTGACAACGACCAGAAAATTAATAACCGCGTTACTCGACACCGAAACTATGTCACGTAGTTTTTGAAATCTCTTGACTTATTGATTATTTTTATTTGCAGAACACCGCATGGGCAAATTCGTTGATCGGATCTTGGCTATGTATGATCACTATTGAAGCATGTCATTGCCATTGTCATTGTCAAGTGCAAGGGAAAATTAACTAGTAATTGGTCGATTAATCGTCAACGGTATGGAACCCAGTGTTGTCTCCATTAGGAGGACTAAACGGGAAACTCCACAGCGAGGTCAGAATGGGAGGACGTTCAGTGACGACGACTACATTCAACTCGGCGAACAACTACAACAGGTACTGTCTCTGATCGACTCTGCTACTATATTCGAAAAGCAAACTTTACATAGCAAAGGAGATCGCCATCAATTCTTTTTAACCGAGGAAGAAGCAAATGACAGCAACCCAAGTGTGTCGGATGGGCAGACACAAGAAGAAAAGCAATTAGAAGTTTTTGATCCCGTGAAAGCCGCAGCGCAAAAACCACAGCGGTTGCCATGGAAACAGAAGAAGGATTATCGTCGAGAAAGAGCGCAGATGCACGAAAAACATCGGCAGACGATGCTGAGACTAGTCGAAGAACTGAACTGGAAGATGATCACAATTGAAAGCAAATGGGAAGACTTTTTGAGTGATGATTCGGAGGATTTTCTTTCTGGCATGAAAACAGCGATACAATCGAAACGAAGAATGATACTGGGAAAGCGTGTCGAGGCTGTGTGGGAAGTGACTAGGTGTCGGGATAAACTACAAAAGATGCGAGACAGAAGATCGCTATCGCTGAAGAAATTCGAGAGTATTTACAACGATATATACGGTCTCAGGGACGGGTTGAAAGCCGAGTTGGTTCGATTAAGGAAAGACCTCTCGAAACATGTTGGTTATAATAAGATCATGAAAGAGATGGACGGATGGACAAAACTTATTAAATACAGCAAACGAAACAGACGGGCCATCGTAGTACACGGCCAGATAAGAGATGAGGTTCCTGGTAACAAGGGTAAATGTGGCGGCATCCTCAGCGTAGTGGCCTTTTCTATTGAGAACGGCAATAAGATTCTACAACAAATATCCAACGTCTGGTCTTTATCCGCATTCTTCCCAAGACAGCTGAAATCAGGTGAGTACTTGTGTACGAATCGAAGTAACACAGCGTGAGCCACCTCTACCGTCACTCCTGTTGTCCCCAGTACAAGTTCTAGGAATAATATATAATTATCCCGAGGAAACCAATATCGGGTGTAGTTTCCTAAATTTTTTTTTGTATATAGTACTCCAACTGATTATTTTATTAGATTGTAGTAACATGAATTGCCGGCTGTGAAGCATTGCCCTATTTGATATAATCTCACTACCTGTTGCTAGGAAACCAACTACTAAATATCAATTTAACATATGATCTTTCCATACGTAGAACAACATTCACCTCGTACAATCGAAGTTCAAAAAAACAAACAAATGTGGCATTCCTTTTATTTAAATATTTCAGAGAGAATTACGGAGGAAGTTGACGGACAACTTGTAGATGTACGGAAGATGTCTAGGCCTTCCGACGCTACGTCAGAACGCGGCGACTCGGTGTCACAGACCGAACTACTGGCCGTCACGAACATGAATCGCAGTGGAGGCTTCATGAGTATCAAAGACAGTGGAGTGTACCTGTTTGTGCCTATACAGAACAATTTTCAGGAGAGTAAACGAGAAATATTTGTTGCCCTGGATACTGACTCCCAAAACGTTGCGTCATCCGGCACGATTGGCAAAGGTCATATCACCGTCTCACCCATCGTTCGCATTGGACCAATCGGCATCAGCTTCAGTGAGCTTGTAATTGTGACCCTTCCTCACTGTCTAAGTGATCCCAGTAAATGGAAAATGTGCATAGCAATGAAAAACGACTCGGTCACGGGCGAGCAGAGTAAATGGCAGTTGATGAGCATTGATGAAGTACAGTTGGTTGTTCGCAATCACGATGCAGTGGCATTTGTAGGCAAGGCAGGTAGCTACAAGCTCGTTGCAGAACCAGCGTTATCCGGGGGCCACTCACATAAATCAGTCTGTCTTGGTACGTTTTATTCGCCAAAGGAGAGGACGCACGATGCAGGGTACTCAGATTTCCGCTTGCATGTATGGAATAATACTCCAGCAAATACCAAAGTGAGTTAGTTGGTTTTATTCTATTGAAGACTGGGATCATTGACCTGTAATTGCATTCCTGTATGTCTAAGAATTAAATGTCATTATCTGCCATGGATATTATTATGTTCACTCGATTCATATAGTACGCCCTCTATGGTAACCTCTGTTTTTAATTTTGTTTTTCTTTGGTGACACGATGAAAACAAACTGCCTTAGCCAACAAGTATATTTATCATTGCCCTTCATTTTCTCAACAATGAAATTATCTCGATTTACTGAATATTGTATTAGCATAATCCTTGTTAACAAATTAATAACAATTATATGTAATTTTCAACGTTCTCCAGGTTGTCCAATTCTTAGAACACCAGCAGTTCGAAGGAGTCATGGCACAATCAGGATCCATCATGCTCTACGCCAAAGGAAGTGACATCAGCGCCACAGTGACTGGCACTTCGATTGACTGGGATGTATGTGAAGACAGTAGAAACCTGGTAAGTCCGCGCACAGGGATCATCGCCATTCAAATTACACAGATTTGCACCACGGCTGCATTAAAAACATATGCCATACATTTGTTATGGCATGATACATGAGATCAAAGTACCAACACCTCTGAATCCTAAATCGTAATCGCTTGACGGCTACGATACATATGCGCTTCCCGCTCATGTCCCCATCATGTAACCACGATTGCACTTATAAACACGTTTCAAATTATGGCTATCTTGACTCGCGTCGTAGTCTGCAAGCATTCACGGAGCATTATTTGAGTCTTATGTGAAAAACTATGATTTCCAGGATTCTAAAATTTCGTGGATCTGCGCGTTGCAATACTTTTCAGAATTAATAGCGAAATACATACGAACATTCACACAACCTGATGGTGAACCGAAACGATCGGCGGCATTCCGACGTTCTTAAAAAGCAATGAAATTAGAACGTTCTTTATTTTCGACAATTCGGGCATCGAATATTTCATATAATTAATCCTAGACTCCAATAAATCTTTATGAATGATCTCAGCGTGCAACTTTAAATCTTGTCTAGCGACGGCGCTCGAGATCTCTGTTATACTTTCACTTATGCTCAGTGCGCCCTCTGGTGATCAAATCATGAACCTGGTTCAAACAATGCCAATACATCGTGGGTGATCGTTTGGTTAATTACTTGCAAAAAATATGTGCATTATTTGCGATAACTATTGTATAACTTGAATAAATGTTAAAATTACAGCGATTCGCTTTATCGAAAGTGTGGCCGATGACGGACACGGCTGGATATTATCAGCGGTTTGAAATGAGAAACACACTAGAGAATGGTGAAATGGGCGATAGAAGAGTATATATGGTAGCTAATCAAGAAAAGACACCATTGGCAGCCACGCCCATGTTGCTGAAGCACCAGGAATCTCCCAACGCAGAGGTAAAATAATATACATAGCTTTATCTTTACATGATTTGAAAACGTTCGTTGATGCTGATTAAAAATAACTTGAATACGACGTTCTTTTATTGACAGAACAATACTAAGCCACCCGAGAAGGACTCCAGGGAAAAAATTGTACATTTTCTTCAATCGAGGCCGCAAGTTTGTTTCAAACGAGAACTAATTCACGTGATACCCGAGAAGAAGTTCCACGAGCTTTGTAATAGCTTAGACGTGAACAAAGATAACGTGCGTGCGGCAATTCCTCCTGATTGGCGCGGTGTAGCCTTAGGGTACCATTTGGATCTTCTTAACATTGTGTCGTGGATCGAAAGCAGGTCAGACCAGAGTCCAACAAGCGTTATACTAAACTATATCATTTCCGAAGGTTTTATCGCTGAGAAACCCACTTTGGAAATTCGTGATGACATCTTGGATATTTTCAATTTAGTTCATGCGAACGAGGCTGCGAACGTCATGGAAGAGCTGACTGTGTTATCAGGGGATAACGTAGACACTGTAGCAGGGATTTTAAAAGATGTGTGGGAAACTGTGAAGGAGAATCTGTGCGTCACCGCGGAGGTGGATGAGAAGAAGGCGGACGTTGAAACCACGGAGACGGAGATCGACAGTGAGGCCGAGGACGAAGAGAAACCGGAAGACGATGCAAGTACAAGTGCAGCGAAAAATGTGCTGCGAACGTGGATGACACAGAAATCGGCCAAGAATGAGCGCCCCGCTTTGGTAGATTTACTGAAAGCAGTGGAGAAAATCAATACTAGTTTAAAAGAGACTATCGAGAAAGAATTGGAAATCGTGTAATTCAACATATGAATCAGTAGTTGATTTGACGTAGATATACTCGACTTTTTATTAGCTTTTCTTCGACTAGTATACAGTCTCTTGTTTGTTTGTTTTTATGTGTTTTGCCAAAAAAATAAATGTGATGTGAGTGTATAAATGGAAATTTCGTAGTAACCCTGCTTTTGCCATTTATATTATTATATCATATTATTTTTATTGATAAAACACCAAAACACAAGAGACTATGCAACTTTAACCTTCCTCTATAAACTTGAACTTGAACAATATGTAAGGCTCGAGCAGTGTAAAAAACAAATTATATACGGAATGGAAGGAATGTCCGCCCAACCAACAACATCATGACTATTGCAGAATTAATTGAAGACACGTGACCAATGTATAACCATTAAAGGCAGTATATGATCAGTCATTCACTCAAGGTCACGTGATTCAACTGAATACTAGTACATCACTGTCACGTATAAATGAGCTCGCCGACAAAATCTGTCCCGTTGCCATGACAAACAGACTAACGAAACAATAAAACCACGAGTTTGTTTGACCAAACAATTGTGTGCCGCAGAATCAACCACAATAGTGAAACGCCGTGAATGAATGAACAAACGGGTAACAAAAAAAACTATTCACAGCAAACTAACTGAAAAAAATACAATACTGGAAATACAAATAATATAGTGTATATAAAAAGCATGTACAATGATTTCTCGTGACGTCGAGTGGTAGAACCTAATCTATGGGTCAAAGTTCATGTTACGTTATTTTAACTAACTGCAGTGTACACGTACTACTTAATTATATTATCAGTTTGTACTATTCGGTATCGAAATAAGCAGAGTTGTGGTATTCTACAAAATATAGTTACATATTTCTGTTTATATTATCCCACGATCATTTTTAACTATGATACCGTGTACACAGGGGTTGTTTATTAAAAGGCGACAGACACGTGTGTGAGTTTTAATCTTGTTGAAATGAATGCCATGCTCATTGCGTTTAAGAAACTTACAACGGATTGTAGTTTACCTATATAAACTGTTTTTGTGTACACTTTGATCTGTGCAATAGTTATTCCCGTGGATGTGTGCTCATTGTATTGCGGTAAATTTATGACGCATGCGTGGTGCGACGACCACCGCTATTAAAGCTGAAATTTATAGTCATATAATGAAGACTTTTGAAGTTCATGATATTTTCCCTCATTTATTAGACTTCTCAATTATAATATTATTAAAAATTTTAAATTTCCGACAAGTAAAATAAATATGATTAAATAGCGCTCACTGGACGTCGTAAACACTGTGTGGTATTTTCTGAAGAGGAGGGAAAAATTCATCAAACATATAATGATAAGTTTATTCAAAACATTGTAAGCTGTTGCCACCATCGTGCGCACCGCGTCGTGTTCGAAGTGCTTCCAACGCCGAATGTTAAAATAACAGGGACACGTACATATTGGGCTAAATGTAGTGAGCGAAATTCGCATAAGTCAGCGAAAATTTGCACAGTTTATTGTGCGATTGAAATGTCTAATACTTTCTGACCTTGACGCAGAACTGAGGCAATTACAGAATTCTCCTGAACAACATAGGTATTCCATTCACACATAATCAATGGCAACGTCTCGTTGCAATCGCATTTTGCATAATGTTGAACATGTACAACGAGATGGAAGATTGTCTCGGAAATCACCTGCTAACAGTATGATTAAACGGCAAGATTCAGATTATTAAACTTTCCTTAACCTAACGGTTTTCAATAAGACGGATTAACAAATATCCAAACGAAAGACCGTGACAGTACAACATTGAGTAGGGTAATGCGTGTGATGCATTGTGGTGCCGCGGTGTGTGTGTGTGTGGGGGGGGGGGGTATTTTACCAGCAACGTACTAGTACATAGCATCACAGCTCAATGTTTTCAAAGAACGATTAGTTAACGTTGACACGAGAACACTTCAGGAAAATTGTTTATTTAACCAATTCATCGCATGGTAGGCATGGTACATCCTAAATCGATATATGACAGTTCTTCTTTCAGAGTTTAAATTATCGTAATTAGCGACGAGAGCGAGGCTGCGCAATAAGAACAAATATGCAAATGAACAAATGATACAAGACAAGACGCTGTGATTTAATTAGAATAACTCACAACTCATGTATACTCATACTAGTATTCAGAAACAATTTGTCAATTATTAACAAAACTTAGCATGCTAACACTTGACATTGTAACTGATGACATTTCCGTTTTTTGTGATATTAATAACAATGCATGGCACAGGGTGTTGAAATATACATGGTCTGACATACAGTGGAGTCATGATCCAATTAACGTGACACTAGCCACATTACCTTTAACTATTCACTATGGCAACAGCCATGGACGGATTACACTGGCGTCGTGTCACACGAGTTTAAATGATAGATGCTGTGCAATACATGTTCATTTCCAATTTGCAGTTAAATTAAATTGCTTCTCTGTAATAGATGCCCCTTTATCAGCATGCTGCAATTGAAAACATGAACTGTACATTTCATTCGTTTGAAACCAAACAACATTCAAGCAATTATATTCAAACGTGAAATCGAGCCTCATTTTCCATTTAGCTAACCAATTTCTGTTTTTGAATATATATATTCTATGAGATAAGCATTCATAATTCAGAAGCTAAATAACGAAATCGAATTTTATATCTGTTAGATTGAAATTCCGACTGAAATGTAATAGTCCATGGATGTAGGTTACCTCCATGTTCAATGTGAAATTGATGACATTGACGATCTCCATGTCATGAAATTATATTTTGTTTACACCTCAGATTATCCGATCATAATTTCACAGTTGATCAAGTCCGCATACACATAGGCGCAAAAAAGCAATTCTGTGATCAATGCCAAGACGTGAAATTCCTTCATCAGATATATAAATAAATTTATGACTGATTTGAATGAAGCCTTTATATTGTGTTAAATGGGTGATAGCTTCATTTGTTCTAACATCAAACAAACCGTCAAATATATATATAACATTACCGAAGCAAAGCTGCTGCATCGGGTTGCCACGGGAATAATCTCATACATGGTCGGCAGTTATTAGATTAATTGTCATATTGTTGAAAAATACACAGAGGAATTTAATGAACGTGTTTTATAGACGGAGGCAGTATAGCAATATATACCAGTATACCAATAACACGATACAATCGCATGGTATACATGTCTTCATCAGATTACGGTTCAGTTGAATTAAACACGCGAAGAAAATCATTTGGTGTCAGTTTACAGACTCACGAGTGGCAGAATGAAAGGTAAGTCGAATCCAGAATACATGGATTGAAAAATTGGTCCATCGATGAATTGATACTTGTTTTGTTTTTTATATATTGTCACGTGACTCATATTGACTTTCGTTTTCACAGGATTATCTATTTTAAAGCGATATACGCTGATAACAACTGTGTCTATGGTTGTTTTATTGCAGCTTGAATATGTGATGTTCAACACTTCCTTACCGTGAGTGTTTGTGATTTTTTTTTGTATTTAACTAAAACAGGCTGTAGTGTTCGCTGTTCAAAATTTTGAGGCATTTGTTTTTTGGCTCGGTAGCCAAGTCTGCATTTACAAATGGTCTGGGAAATATTTATTGTTTTAGGCAATATTCACAAAATTAAAATATATTAATAAGCATTTTGTTGACGCAGAATTCGAGTACGCGTAAACACAACGTGACATAGTACAGAAAGATAACTCGCGGTAGTAACTATGGCTACGTCATCATATCCCTAGTGACCGTCTTGTTATTCATGGTATGGCATATTAATGTGATTTACCAGTCATTATTATCAAACATTATAAATACAACCCAGGATAGATTAGCATGCTATATACATACACTGACAAATATGTTGTCAATACTGCCTTTGTGTTGTGTTATTAATAGCCATATCTTATCTCGATGACAGTCCTTACAATGATTATATATGCAAGGCGTCAACCACGATGGACTCAGGCACAACATACAATGCAACTCCGGAATATGCAACACACTTATAGCACGCGTCTGCATTCAGCACGTGCATGCAAACTCCGTTTCAAGCTATTCTAAACTCGGTTGTATCTCCATTTATTGTGTAGGACTAAAGATTCATATCCACGAGATCTATCGACAAATATCGAAATATTAAACAGTTCGGAGGATTTTGGTTCGAAAGGAAGTTACAAATTATGCGAACCAGTGAAAAACTTTGTATTCGTCAAAACAACCAAGACTGCCAGTACCACAGTGGGCGCTACATTGTACAGATACGGGTTGAAGCATAATTTAGTCGCTGCTCTTCCAGTGCCCCCTACAGGCGTGGATTTGCACATAGAAGGTAACAAGGTTGACGTCACGACATATCCATGTACTGAGGTATTCCCTGGTTACAACTATATATCATCGCATCTACGCATGTATAATCGTGAATCATTGGAAACAGTCATCCCAAACGCAACGTATATTACAATACTCCGTTCTCCGTATACTCAGTTCCGGTCTTCTTTTTATTTCTACGCTGCCGACCGTACACTAAATCTAGAGAAATGGCGAAATCCGTTTGAAAAGTTCGTCAAAAATTTGACAAAATATCGCAAACCGTTACCACTGAGTCACCAGTCTCGTAACGGTCAACTTTTCAGACTTGGTTACGACTGTGACCTTGTGTGTGATATTCCAATTGATCAAATAATACAGAAATTGGACAAGGAAATCGACTTAGTCATGATTACAGAATACTTAGACGAGTCGTTTGTCCTTTTGAAACAATTGATGTGCTGGAGTACAAAAGATATTGTTTATTATTCTTTGGCACAGCGCCCTCGTGGTCACACGCCCATCACCAAGGGCATGGAAGCGATCATATCTAAATGGAACCGTCTCGATTTAATTCTGTATAACTATTTTAATCGCACACTGTGGCGTAAAATAGAGAAATATGACGGTGACTTTAAAGAGGATTTACGGTTATTTCGTGCAAAGCAAATTCAAATTGCCAACGAGTGTGCTTTCAATAGTACGAACGATGCGTGCAAACTGAGTCAACTGAACGTTGGTCAGCTTAAGAAGCTCGTGGCAAAACTGCAATACAATAAGTTTTGCAGCAAGCAAAAACAGATTTATATTTAGAAACAGGATAATGTAATATGAGCGACAGTTTAATAAACTGGAATATTTTTGAGACTGTCGTCTATTGTAATACATGAATAAAACTGCTGACACTACTGCAGTAGATGTATAGTTAGATTTTGAAAGCTCCTGGTTCACGAATGTTGGGAGTTGAGGTAATACGATTTCTATGCAATGATAGCAACCATCAGTTCGGCTCATTGTATAGTGTGTCCGAGCACAACGCATTATTTGTATCCACCATATGCTGTATTTGCGTTGTTTCTGAACTACGGCGCCTTCTGCAATTCGATTCCACTGCTAATCTAATTATGTTGTGTCAGCTGATTGTGCTGACCGTCGGCAACTACAGTAAGTGAATTGTAACGGTTAACACTACGCTGCGAATGTAGGCAACATCGGGATCGACACATACACCCCAACCTTCCAATATAAAACCATTCAGATGATTATGAGTTATTATCAAATTTGAATTTTGTAACATGAATCATCTGCCGTAAGCGGCGCTGATAACGTTGATATACTTACATTAATTTCAAATAACGCACCTGTTTAGTCTATGAATCGCGTCCCCTAGTGACGAAGCATTTCGATAACGTAAATAGATGAAACGAAAGCCGTACTAAGCGTCGTTTCAATCCATAGTCGTCTATCTATGAAACTTGTGTTCTTTTCTTGGATAATTGTAAAGGAGTCTAGATGAGGAGGACAGTCAAATACCGAGAATGGTCGACTTGAATAATCGGGCGTCACCGATGCGCCCGTCACTAGAGGACGCGATTTGTGAGAATGGTGTATCATTCACGATATACTAGACTTTCAAATTAATTCAAACACATTTTATTCTGTGTTTGGTGCTGAGAACGTATGTTCCGAATCGATTCAACCGTTGTTCTCCCGTGGTTACGTTCATATATTTAGTATAATAGCACCTCCATGTATCATAACAACACGTCACGGTTCTTAAAAACACCACGTTTATTTGTTTTGTTACACAGGGTAATTCACATGATGCAAAGACAATGTTGCCACAATACTCGTTAATTTTGTTTCACTAACGGTAAACTGGATGTGAAAATTATGGAAGCACGTGACATTATAAAGCACTGTCATCGAGATAGGACATAGCGATACATAACACATCACAACGGCAGTATTGAAAACATATCTGTCACTTGCATAGATTGTAATTATAATGTTGAATACGTGGAGTCAATAAAAAACGCTGTGTCACCAAATATACTATCTGCATCTAGAGATTTAACCTAATAATATACTAGTAATTCTGACATGCTTGACAAAAAAGTTAAATAAAAAAATGTATTTCGACGACCACCTCTGCAAGTTTAATCGATCTGACATGGTGTTTCAGCTTACAGGCTGGGCAGCGCTTACAATATTAATTTTAGAAAACACAATAATCACATTTCATTTTACATGTCAATTATATCATGATTCATTGTTTAATGGCATATATTTTATTAGTACTGTAACAATATATTTTTTTTTTAACTTTAAGAAACAGAAACAACAAATGAAGAAAAAAAATGTATAAATAAATGGAATTTAAAAAAAAAGAATACAACAACTAGGATATTATTTTAATCAAATTGAGGCATTAATATGAAATTGTTCCATTTTTTATGCTTTTTTCTCAAAGTTTTTTCGGACAGGGTCAAAACTGTGAAAAAATGTTGACTTGTGTCTAAATCAATAAATAAATGATACAAACAATGTTGATAAACTGTTCGCCTCATTTATTAGGTGGAATACTTGCGAAAGTCCTTATGTACAGAGTACGTACTGGCACTGTTACAACGAGCAGAAATTACCAATAAATCAACCACCTATACAGTTATGTACTATGAAGTTATAACTGTTTTAGGAGAACACGTGACAAGTAGTCATGCCGGATATAGAGCTAAAACCTTCAGAAATTTATTTTCTGCACGACTCAATAAGCTGCAATTTCCGAGACGGCACGTGTATCTTGGATACGTTCAGGGAATTGTATAAGAGAATAAACCCATCCCTGATTAAGAAGATTATTGTGTATAAGGCGAACTGTAAATGGTGGGTATACGAAGGAAATAGAAGACTTTATATTTACAAAATATTGGAACGCCTTGGAGTTGTGAAAACTATAACTGCACGCGAATTATGCAGAGTGGACCAATGTGCCATGCAGAATAGGAACACTAGCCAGAATGGGGGAACATCGGTACGTATACGCGGCGATCGACAGCTTGACATAAAAATTGGATCGATCATAAATGACTGGAAAGCATTGACTGTACAGGGTGAGTATCTCGTTAACGGTTCTTCACATTCATTGTCACACTTAACGTCCACAGTGTGTTATTTTTTCTACGTACTCTTCCACTTGCAATGGGTAGGGTCTCTCACAGACTATCCACCGTGATTCCTCTCTTTTGTTTTATTGTATCGTTTTCGTCTCCTGTCTGTTCCACAGGATTGGGTCCGTTCATCTTGGCTGTTCCATCGAGTTGATTGGTTGGGCATTTTCATAGATTGGGCGTCCAGGTCGAGTCTGTTCTTTTATACAACGGGTTCGGACCGTCTCCAGAATTTATTCCGTTCTCGTATATGGAATCCAGTTAAGCGGACCGCACATTTACCATATTTTCCGGACACGAGCAAATCGAACATGGCCGACTGCTATGGGGTCATGTTGTACGTTACACTGTGTTGCCATTAGGAACTGTAATTTCCGGTTCAAAGTATCACGGCGAAGTAATTCAATAACCATTCATCTTAATTCGGTGACCTGCTAAACGGACAATTTTACTGTTATGTAATATATTCGTTGTTGACGCCATGGTCACCATTGCTAACTGCGTCATTCCCACAATCCTTAGCGCTGCCACCCATAAATCGCCGTGTAAATCCTATAACACATTTATGCAACTTATACAGCACGAGTAGAAATCAAGAAAGTAAGTTTTTATTTGTTTTGAATACCACTATGGCGCCTTATCTGTTTTCCTGTAATCATACTGCAGCCATTGATTTTCTAGTACTAGTATATTGTAACTTTGTATTTTTGTTCATTTTTTACAGCCACCGTTAGACGGGCCGACAAAAACAACCAAATTATAGAAAAGAGTCGATAGTCATATCGCATACTTCGAGATCGTGATAAAAATGACCATTCCCTAAGCTCCAGTATTACGTATGAACCCAACCATATACCGGACACCATGGCATGCGTCAGTACGCCCTCACATACCGTTAGAATGCCAGAACTGGAAACAACTAGTCATGAGAATACTGATCCTCGTCCAACACCTTGAGTTTTTTCGCAAACATTGTCACACGTTTTCTCGACTTAATAACTGGCGCTTGGCATGTTGGTTATTATTATTATTAGTAGTAGCGTTTGTGACTAGCGTCACTGAGATTGAGGTGCACATTGGAGTATATTGTATTCTCTTGGAACGCTCACTGCCTTACAAGTTGTGAGAATGAGGGTGTAGTCGTAGAGAAAAAAATGGAACATTTTCTCATTATACTATTACACTTACTGAAACTAAATTAAATCAACTAGAAATAATATGTGTGTTTTTATGAGTTATTCATTGTGTATTTCCGTGTATATCATGTTTGTAATTAACTCAAATTTCTATCAACGTCTTACTTATTACTAGTATAAGTAACTGTTGTTAGCATTCTAGCTTGCTTTAGGTTTTAATTTCTTTGTCGAATATTAATCGGCAATATCGGTATTTTTTATGAGGTAATCTTCAAAAATGTGTCTTGCTTCAATGTAATGTTTTTGAAGATTGTCAATCAACACAATTTTGTAAAATTAGTTACCATTTCCATCCATTTACGTAATATTGCCACGATTTCCAGTTCTCGATGTATAGTCCAGTTACCCGTGCCCTGTTCCATTTTGCATGCTGATGTATTTGACGCTGATGCTGATGCTGCGGATGTATTTCACAACACCCACATTGCCTCTGTGATGCCGTGCAATATTACTCATACACTTTCAACGTTTAATCAAACTGTGAAAAGAAAAGCAATCTTCTACATAATCTGATCTTATTGGGCATTTTTTTAAACTTTTTTTATTCATTTAATTTATTTTTTTCCTTTAGTCATATATTTTGTTTTAAATTTAACACCTTTAACTTTAGTTATTTATTTTCTTATTTTATTTATTTATTTTTGTTTTATTTAAAAAAAAATATTTCTTTAATTTTCTGACTACGATTCGCGGTCAGACAATTAAAAAAATACAGTAAATAAGAAAAATTAATAATTAATATAATGCA